TTGCGTGGACAGCCGATGCACAAGCCAATGTTTTCAATCTCCTAGATGAATCTAACCCGCCTTCTCCCACATAATCTGGTACATGGTTCCCGGGCGTGGAAGAGTTGGTGGAAGCGGCGTGAGCCGATCCGGGGTTTGACCGCGAGCGCGGTAAAGGGGCTGTTTGCTACTATACCATTTCCACCAGGAGGTTGGAATGGAAGACTACTGATGGTTTGAGGAGCATCGCTCATCAAGACAGGCTTGAATGTGTGGGCCACCGTTGTTTGTCGCACTCACAACCAGGGAACATCATCGGGATATGGTGTAATAACGACTTCAGTGCAATCTCCCCACCCCCCCCCCCCCCCAGAGGGGATTTCAGAACGATCCCCAAAACATCTGTTCACTACCCAGAACTTTCAAAATTTTGCTGTCGAACAGGGCGGGGCAGGGGGGGGCATTATATTCTTAACATCAACTACCACAGGAAAACAGAAATCATAGTACTGGCGTTACAGTATCTTCAGAATAGATACTAGATTACGTACGAAGAAATTCTAGGAATGTCCTGGACTGATTAATCAGGAAGTTTTATCATAACAGCTGTTGTTTTAGCCGCATTTCGCGCTCCGAAAATTATCACAGGGATGCTGATTTTAGGCAAAACCCTATGCCCTTCCCAGAAACAATTTATGTCGTTTCGCTAGAGCTATCCTTTATTTGAAAAGAGTTGTGCTTACTTCTTTTTTTTGAATTTGCTCTGCATTGTTGTTTCGGCCTTTTTCTGCCTTTTTTGGAATTCTTGCATTTCATCCACCTTATTAAGGTACGGTTTCAAGAGTGACAGTCTGTCTATAGCACTGTTGGTGATCTCGATGTATCCGATTATTGCTCACAATGTTGCTGATAACAGGTGATGCTCCTAGTTCCTTAGTAGTTAGTTCCTTTGAACCTTTGTGAAGAAACACGCGCTGTGGTGTTCCACAATGTGCTAATCCCTTGCCATCAAAATACTCGCCAAAAAAATTTCATCCACGAACTTCAGGCTCTATCATCAACCTCTACGGTTTCTGTGGACTCATGCTGTGGAGCCACGTCTTCTTGTGCCAGTGTGCCGGAAGAAAAACAAACCGATTGAGTGTGATCTCAGGATAGATTTCA